TCTTTCCCTCAGAAGAGAAAGAAAGAAAGGGAGGATAAAAAAAAGGCAAGTAAATGGCTCCATTGTGGACTGTATTTTAGATTAGATAGAGAGGAGGAACAAACTGTAGGTTGAATGTGGATGTAGGATTGCAAGTGATGGAGTTGCACAAGCAGAAGGAAGGTGCTTTCCTTCTTGGCAAAGACGCTCTTGGTCACGGTCTGAACACAACTTCTGTCCTTGGGCTATCTAGGCCTCCAGTGTCAGAGCTTTCCCCTGGCTGGAGTGGGATGCACAAAGCCATTCGATCCACAGCATTGCTGCTCCTGCTTTGTGTAAGAACAGGTAGTCCTCCCAGGCAATGCCATACCTTGCTTTCCCCAAAGCATCTCAGGTGATTTGAGATCAGGTGCCATCAGTTCCCAGCCTTCACTTCCCTTCAGCCAAAAGCGGGGAAGAAGAGACTTCTCTTAGTGGTGTTGAGCCTTCAGATGTTCCCAAAAAATTTCACCTTCCATTTCAGTCTCTGAAGGCTCCCCTGCCTCCTGGCTCAGCTTCGTCAACCCGTTAAACACAAAGCCTCAGTATAGAGGAGATACAAAGGCTTGTGATATCTGCATGGACCAACTGGTTTACAGCTTTGCATTGCAGAGGTTATTGCAAGTGTAAAACGGCTACTCATTACTCAGACTTTATTCCTACTATAAAAATCTCTCCCTGCCTTTCACCAGGAATCGAAGCCACTACATCCTTTGCTCCTGTAGCCAGCAGCATTTTACCCCTCCAACACCAGCAGGCTGCTCCTGCGTCCCTTTGAAACAAAGGCACGTTCTTGCCAGACATTGAGGCAGCTTCCTTGTGTATTAACAGGAAACTGGTGTTTCCGATAGGTCTGGCTTAATGGGACTTATTACTTGTTGAGTGCTGGCAAAGGGCTAAACTGAGAACAAGGTGCAAAGCACTTGCATGCTCTGAGGAGTTCACAAGATGCGCTGGCGAAGCCAAGCCATGCTGGAAAGCCCGGAGGAAGGAATGACTCAGGGTAACGCAATTGAACACTTAAGGAGGGACGTGCTGTGAGAAGTACGGTGATTTGGCAAAGCAGGTTGAGAAGTCATTTGGAAAATCAAAGGTCCAGCTGTTGTGCGTGGCCCAATAGGCTGGGGCAGGTCGCTGTCAGCAGCAGTGTTAACTCCAGCCATGTGGGATTCCCCGGCTCAGGAGATGTGGTGCCCATTTCTGTCTCACCCAGCTGGGTACAGCCTTTGGTGGGAATCCAGAGAAAGGCCTAGACTTGTCCTTCTGCATAATGCGTGGTGAGAAATCTCTGCTCCTTGGTCCCCCACCCGTTACATGAGGCTGCAATGAAAAAGCTTTAAGGAGAGCCACTGGGAAGATGGAAATTAGTTCTTTCCCTAAGATTTGCTGAAAGCTTTTGGAGAGGCAGTATGAGTGAAGAGCGTGGGAAGAGGCAAAAATTGTTGTGATAAAATCATGTGGCCAAGTGGGAGGGTAATAGGTGGGCTGAAAAACAAAGACTAAAGGCAAGTTTTAGAAGATGAGTACAGGAATTTGGTATAGTAGAAAACCAGAGAAAGAATTAACCAAAGTAACAGAGTCCTTGCATCAAGTATTTCAGCACAGTGGGTGAGGGATGTTCCCCTTATGGGCTGTGCATGCAATATCATTACCACTGACTCAAATTAACACTGGAAATCCTGGCAGCTTTACATGTACCCGGGGACTCAGAAATCTGGATCTGGGTTTTGCAGCTTAAGCTGCTTTCCAGCGGTGAGGCACAGAAAATCGCCGGAAGGTGCCTGGGTCCTGTTAGCAGTCATCAAACACTGCCCACGCTTCTCGCTGCAGGGCCCAGAGGCTCCCAAACTCTCATGGTAGACCTCGGACCCTCACCGCGTCAAAGCAAGTTGCCTGTCCTAATAATCAGAGACTTCTGGCTTCTCTCTCCATTTTAGCTTGGGTCTTGGCTCATTCCTGGGTCTGCTGCCCTGACACAAATGGTCCTTGGGGTTTCAACCTTTCTTCTGTGCCTATGAACATCTCTCCTCACAGGGACTGAAGGAACAGTTCTTGTGGAAATCCCTTCCTCAGAAATATCAGGAATGTTCCAGGGATTTATGTGTTGCAATGCATGGTCTTCTCTGGTGAGACCTCATAGCACCTAAAGCTGCAAGAAAGATAAGGGGGTTTACCCTGTTTACATCTTCCTATGTCTGGATTTGCTAACCTTTCCTACTGTTTTAACTGTTAGGTTATTAAAAAGGAGCACATATAAGGCAAATCTTGCAGTCCTTACTCAAGTTCATGGCGACCTTGGCTGAGAACAGATTACAGGACTTGTTCTGGTATTATATAGCCAGTGAACTGTATTGAACAAGCAGAGAATAAAGGTTTTAGTAACTCCTCCAAATGTAATGCCTAAAGCTACATTCTGCTGAAGGAACAGAGAAAACTCAAAAATGAACTTAAGTTTCGTTTTGTAAAATACTAGTTTCACGTAAAAAAAAAACAAAAAAAAGTGCATTGGTTGGTGATTTGTTTTTTTCTTTGTAGAGTTGCTAGCAACCTTACAAGCTCTCATCCTCTAGTGGTTTTTTGTATGATAGTGATGCTCAGGTGGTTTAAATAAGACTAGATTAAAACATCCCGTGTTTTGGGGATTACTTAACCACTGTCACCTGACCTACAGTCTCTCTCCATTTCAGGTCCCTAACTTCATCAACACAACGCTCCCACCCCACGAGCAGGTCACAGCTCAGGAGATAGACAGCTACTTTAGACAGGAGCTCATCTACAAGAGGAATGAGAGGATGGGGAAGAGAGTGATGGCGCTTCTAAGGGAGAACACAGACAAGAGCTTCTTCTTTGCCTTTGGAGCAGGTACGGCACGAATTTTTCTGTTCTACTCGGTTATTGTGATTGGAAGTAAAGTGGTTTGAACGCTTCAGGATTTTGTCTCTGGTCCTGCGGGAAGATGTCTTAGGGGACTTCCCTTTGAAGCAGAAAGGCTTTTGTTTGTCTAAACCTGCCTCTAAAATGCAGTGAGTTGGTGTAGGAGGCAGGCCTGGGTCTGGCTGGGCTGTGGACAGGCTGCACTCCTTTGCTTTCCATCCAGTTGTAGAAACGTGAAGCTGTTAATGCTTTTCACACTGTTGTGTTTGTTCCCTTCCCAGCCCAACCTGTGGGCTGCTTGGGTTATGTTCACACCGTGGTTGTGTTTGTGGCTGCAGGCGTAGGAGATGGTTGAAGTGCCTTTGAATTTGCAAGCCCAGGTGCCGATGGCAGTGACTGCGGGGATACAAACCTTGTTGTGGCGTAGGCACCTGTGCGTGGCTCAGGGTGCTGGTCTGGGGTTTCAGACCTTTTGGTGGTGTGTCTGTGCAGACTGGCTGGTTTTGGACCTTGCACAGAGGGATGCATGAGTTATGTGTGTAGGTAAATACCAGCATTTTAAATCATTAAGTAAAAATCCAGTGCATCCCTCTGCCTGTTTAAGTTTTCTCTGTGAAGTCTGCAGAACAAAGATGTCTAAAGTACTTCTGTGAGTCTGCGACAGTACGTGCTACTGTCCTTTTTTTCCCTTTTTTAACTTTTTTCCCTGTTCAACGGAATTCACATTTCTGTATGATAAGAGTATAAATAATAACTGTTCGGGCCCCAGTTCAGCAGAAAGCACCGGCTTAAGTGGCTCTTTGAGCTCCCTCGACTTCAAGGCAGCCTGAGATTGTCGTGCCGAGAACCTGCTCCCTCTCCTTGACAATTTCTCATTTTTGACAGAACTTTGCTTCTCATCCCATGGCTCTCGCTATGAACTTTGGCAAAAACTTGCTTTTCGCTACTCACTGCGGTGGGAATTTTGATTAAAGACTGCAGGGTTTAGCAGAGATACATGCATTTTGATGTATTTATTTTTTAAGTGTATCCAGACTGAATTTTCCCAAGCTTATTTAATCTCAAGCTTGCCTGATATTTCTGCCCAAGGAGTTTTGCTTAACCGTTTTTACAGTAGGAAAATATATCATGGTGGTTCATAAGTGGACAGGGATTCATAAAAAACAGCTTGTCTAACTCAAGGAGCGAGGTTTATCAGAGACTATCGAACATGATGGTTTTGATGTAGTCTCCAGTTTTGGAAGTCCCTTAACCAGTATATACTGGAGCCGGGAGGATAAACTGGGCATCATTGCGCGCTTGCCCTGCTCTGTACACGCTTTTCCTGGGCATCAGTTACAGACCATGGCTTAAGACAGGATTTTGGACTAGATGGGTCATGGATCCAATCCTGCAGCTATTGTATGTGCTAATGAGGGAAATTAAATTAAGCAAATGGATACTAATTACACGCTGCTTTCCATAGAAAGTCACGTCTAAGTTGTGGGAGGTTTGAGCTTTCATTCTCTGTCCCCATCGGAGAGCATCTACCTGAAACTCCTGGGCAGCATCGCTTGGGAAAGCTGGCTCGTAAAGACCAAGTCTCGTTTTGTCCTTCACACTCCGTTTTTGGTGATGTTTGTCGCTGGGTTATTTCTTTTTCCCCGCACTGACTGTAGCAGGACAGAACAGACACATGCAGCAGGATTTATTGAAAACTGGGGCACAGGAGACGCCAAGGAAAGCTTTTTGTTTTGGCTTCTTTGTTCCAGCATCCCTTTGGCCTTTCTCACTAAAGCGGGCCATCCCTGCAGGCCATCCCTGCTTTAAGTACAATTAATTCCTTCTCTTTTCTCTGGGGTGTTTTTTTCTTCGTGCAGTAAGTACTGAGAAAATTATTAATTTTTCAATGCCAAAACTTTTATGTGGCTGAAGTGCAAGTAAGTTCATTTTCTCTTATGATTCAAATGCAGTTTTCTCCTGCAGGTTTTTGTTGGTTGGTGGTTGGTTTTTTTTCCACACGCTGAACTGTAAGATACATTTTGTATTTTGCATTTTTACATCTACTTCTTTCATTTTAAGGGGGTTTTTTGGTATGTGTTTGGGTCATGAATTCAAATTGTTTTCTAAAACCTTGAGGGTTTGGTTTTGGCTTTTATAAAAGTGAAGGGTGTTTTTGATGAAAGTTGAGGCTTTCACATATTCCCATGAATTCTGAAGTGCAAAATTTTAGGAATGCACCTTTGGCATGATAGGGTCTGCAGGAGTGCATTTGCTCTCAAAACAGTGCAAAAGTTATTTCACTTCATTTAACATTCTGAATATTTAAGACTAACATGATGGAGGGGAAATATTTTTTTCAAATTATTATGGATAATGTACTCCAAAAGGTATTGTTCTTATGCTAAGCATGATCTCCGCATTAATCCATTTATTTTGAGGATATTGGAACTAATGAATGAATAATAATTAAATTATATATGTATATTATGAATTGGTTTCCAAATTTCATAATCTCCGTCATAGCTTCTGGGAAGGGAAGAATTGGATAAAACTGTGCTGGCAAATAAAATTAGGAAAATAAGTATTTTCCCAAATAAGAAAATAAGCCTGTTATGAGAAAAGCACCTTGGAAAAACTTCACCAGACGCAATGTTACGGACTGGGGCTGCTGCAGGAGGGATTCCCAAGCCCTGCACGATGATTCGTTTGGACTCTGTGGCATCCTGTAATTTGCAGGTATAACTGGAGCCAAGGGGCTTGGGGACAGGGTCCTACCCTGAAAACAGCCCTTCCGAGGCGGAGCCCTGCCTGGTTCCTCCCCACGGGAGCCGTACCTCGTGGAAACTGCCGTAATTAGGTTTACCTGGCTTTTGCCCAGCTGCATGTAGCAATTGAAGCTCTGTTGCTCTGGCGGAGCACCATCCTCAGCTTGGTTTAAGATCCCAGTGCCACGGATGGGTAGTTCAGCATTGTCTAACACTGAATTAGTATAATCAGCTTGACTAAGCCAGGAGATGCCATGCA